ATAAAATGTAATTAATTATTGAATATTATAATATAATTAATCCAATAATTCTCAACCTCATTTCCTATTATAAAAAATACTAGAACAAACAAATTTTCAACAACAGGAAATAAATATAAAATGAAATAAAAAAATTACGAATTTTAGACTCCATTTGCAATGAAAACAAGTGTTTTCAATTTTTGCACACGAATACGATAAAATATTAGTACAACAAAAGATTTTTTAACCCTCTTTAGAAAAATATCATTCAGAATCCAAAAATCTGATTCTAATGTTGCTTTTAAATTTATTTCTCCTTGAAAGTTTAACTTTAAACCTGATAACTAAAAACAAGTTCTATAACACAAAAAAATTAATATTCATTTCAATCAAGCACCTCGAAAACAAGACGTATCAATTAAACATCAAATTTTCTGATTTAAATAAAAACCCATTGCCACTGATTATACTTCATACAAACAAAAAAATATTTAAATAATAGAAACTTACCTTTGATAAACAAATAAATAAATAAATAAATGAACAAACAAAAAAATTTATTACGCAAATCAATTAAAAAAGAAAAAGAATTGGTGACTTACATGTCCCTTTCTACAGAGTCCTTCGCCACAAGGTCATACATCTGACTGTGCGTAGAAGTATTGACAACAAACAAGGAACTTTTCGCTAGAAACAAACAAAAAAAAAGATATTAAACAATCAAAAACAAAAGAGGACATTTTACGATACGAAACAAAAACCACCACAACAATAAACTAAAGACAAAAGAAGACCGTTTCGAACTACTTACATGCAGCGTTGGTTCTGACGATGAGGGAGGAAGTCTTCATGACGGGTGCGAGATACTGCTGGTTTGGCGTCCCTGCCTGAAAGAACTTGAGGACGTAGCGTTCAGCATCTTTCTGCAGAAGTATCACAGCTTCTTCTAAGAGAACGACGTGGACAGCCAGGGGCTGTTTGTTCGGTCTCCTCAGGTGCATAGGCCCTTCGTGAATTAACTTATATTTCGTTAAATCTAAATTCTGAAACAAAAACAAAAGACATAATTACTTGCAACATAATCGTAATTAATTGTTGTTCGTACCTTAAATTCATTAACAATAGCATGATCAGTCTTTTCGAACATAGATGTGTCTAAATGCTTCTGCAGCTCCTCGAGCCTGGCTCTGTTGAAGGCAACTTTGGCCGCCTCGTTCACGTGGTTCAGTATTTCTTTGGACCGATCATGTGCCTGCCTGAGCTTGTTAAGCTCGGCCTGCGTGTAGCCGGAATCTGTATCCTTCAATTTCTCCTCGCTGTCTATCAGCCTTTCCAATAGCAAAGGATACTTCGACAACCTGACCAAAAAAAAATGACAAAATGACCTGCAACGATCTTTAGGAACGAAGAAAATTTACCTTTGCATTTCTGTGGGAAGAATTCCTTGTAAAGGTAACCTCCTGCACAAATTATTTTTTTCGCACTCGCAGAGGAAATTGTCGAACCTGGAATCTTTTTTTCGCCTTTCTTTGATAAACTCTAACGCCAGTTGTTGCCTTTCGCAAAAAGTGGCAGCAGCTCTTTGGAAGTTTTCACCTGTCGTACCGTCAAACTGCAATCAAAAATCACAACAATTTACAATCCAAACTCAACTGGAATTATTTTTCGAAATAATCACCATATTGAGGAGGAGGTCTCCACATTCCCCAACAATCGACTCCTCTTTCCGTTTATTCTTCATAGCGGCATTAAACTGAACGTGGAGGTCTAACAGTTCACTCAAATTCGCAAAGATGAGATTGAGGTCCTCTTGTTTGAGGATTTTTGAGGAATGCAACGGTTTACAAAATACATGTTCCAAAACTCTGAGATTCCGAACGTGTGACCTTTCTGTGTGAAAAATTTCTAAAAGAGAAAAAACTCATTCACATCATCTACTTCTCCAAAAGCAACGTCGTCGTTATCACTAACTAACCGTTGATAACATCTTGTCTTTTTTTTTCGTATGGATGCAGGCCGGCTAGTTCGTCTTCAGGTACTGAACTTTGCCAGTCGGGAGGGTCAGCTTCCAGTTCCATGTCACTATCCCATCCCGTTCCAGCCGGGTGGGTGTCTGGAAACCTGGATACGGCATCGAGGGAGGTACTTGGACTTTCTGACGATTTACTACACGAAAAGTAAAGCAAACTGCTACTCAGACTACTCTATTAAATACCCATCATAACTCCAAAAGACTCGCAACAATTACTTCCTCGAAAAATTTTTGGAAACAAGCACGCATAGGTAGGTATCAATTAACTAAGATGTCATATCATCAACAGGATCCTAACATTCGATCTCAAAATCCAGATCGAAAAAAAAAGCCGACAAAAGTCAAGAGTCATTTTGACTCATTTCATTAATAAATACGTTTATAGACGTTTTAACTGGTATCTGGTATTGAAAAATTAACACCTTTACAGGCTCCAAATTTGACAGCGTTTTGTGAACATTGTTTGCGACTTTTCAAAGAAAAAAGCATAAATTAACGTTTGTAAAACACTACAGCTACGAATGTCAACCCGAAATAAAGACTCCTCTCGATAACTACAATTATCGTATTTTGTAGGATTCTGAACGTTCTACGTAAAAATCTGAATGGGTTATTTAAGATAGGACGAGGCTGTATTATTTTTGGCCTTTAAAACGTTGCCAATAATAAATTCCGATGTCAAAGAAATCTTTAAAACATTTGAGCACTAAAAGTTCAAAATAGGCACATTAACAAATTGTAAATACAACATTAGCAAGAAAGTAACATAAAATATGATATTTGCTAGCAATTCTGTCGACATCAAAAAGAAGAAAACACAAAAAAAATATCATATCTTAACTAAGACATCGGTATATTTTTAAGATTTTTTAGTTAGCAACCAATTAAATTATCTATGTAAACAGAGACTATTTTTATGCATGATGATAGAAATACGACCCTGAATTGGTTTACCACAAACGGAATAAAAAGGATGTTTGTCGCATTTTGTTCAATATCTTTGCATATACAGACTGTACCAAAAGAGTCTTTTGGAGGTAAAATTACAAATTATTTCACGAAACATAGTAGAATAAATAAAAATGAGAAAATTCGTCTTTTATTCTATTACACTCGTTGAGCAAAAGATTGTTTTATAAAAATAAAAACAATATACAGAAATGTATGTACTTACTTTGAAGAGAGACTGGAATTAGAAGAACTGCCCGAGTGAGCAGGGTAAGGCAGTCCTTGTTGATCTAGGTCATCGTTTTCCCTAAAAATATCCAAGAAAGCTGTTCATGTCTCGGAAAAAGACAGTGATATAAACGCACGTTGGCCGCGTTTATAAAACAAAAGCGGTTGCAAAAGAAAAAAGATAAATAACGTCGCTGTTTTGCTTTGCCGCATATACATGTGTCATTTTTGAAACAGGAATGCAAGTCTAGTTAGGATGAAGGAAGGGCTGATAAACATTTCACCCGATTTAACTTTGATTTATCGCGATCTAAAATACAATTGCTTGTATATCACGCGAACAGAATAAACTTTACCTCTACTTAACGTTAGATAGATTCGTTTCATGTAAACTATCTTTAATCCAATTTGGCAAAGATATTTCATTGTGTATGATTCAGTCGGCATTTATTCTGCGATAACGCGATAACTTACTTTGTGGCTAATGATTCAGGCGCATTTGGGCATCTAACTCAAACGTTTTCAAAATATTTTTTCTCATGATAATTATTGGACTTTTGCGGCATTTAAAACTGCAGCAAGTATGACTTATAATTTGATGTAACAACAAATCAAACTATCTCTTATAGAGACGGACTCTCCAAGCACGACCTTCAGGTCACATTCATTATTTACCTATGAGTTAAAGATAGTCATCTTTCTTTAATTTTAAGAAATTGGCAAAATAGTCTATAAAAGGACGCCCTTTAAGCAGTTGGAAAGAAATTTCACCGCTTCAACGTCGTTATAACCGATATCTACTGTATGTAGTCAAACTTTTATCATTACCAGTCAGTTTTCATTAAAATAAAACTCGCAGTTACTTAAAGAACGAATAGGAATACAATCTCAGGCCGGACCTGCCTTTAATTTGCATCAAATGTCGGTTAGTTATTGTCTCATGCCAGGCTCTCTACTTCTCTACTACATAGCAATAAGTATCCAATAATAAATCTGTCTCGATTACATAATCGAATTTCCCTTCACGATTTAATAACCAATCACGTCGCAGGTTAACACACCTATTATACTATCCGCTTTATTAGTCAGTCGCTATTAACAGTTTCCAACCGACACAATAGCCGTTGGCTCTAACGTATTTTCTTCCTCTAATTATTGCACGCCTTTTTTACACCTTCTTCGAAAAACGATTAACTACTCCAGCACATCAAGATTCTGATATAACTTAACGTAAAAATTAAAATATCTCGAAATTTCAACGGCTTGTAGCTTTCCTTGTGTTTGAATTTTGAATGCGCCATCAAAGAATAAGTCAGAAATGATTATCGTACTTTCTTTTCTAATTCATTTTGAGCTATCTATAGTGGTTGCCCGAAAAAAAACCCAATTCCAAAAAGAGCATACATTGCCGATGTATTATTTAATGGAGAAATTGAATCTGGTTCCAAAATTGCCCTAAATAAAATTTTAATTTGAAATCCAAATGCGGCAACTCGGGATTGTGGCATTAAAATGTTTCAAAATCTTGATGTGCTGCAGCAAGATCACATTTAGTCCTTCTAATTTTTCCTTTATAATAGTTGATTTCGTTGATCTGTACTATTATAATAAGCACCTAAACCTGATTTTTCCGTATTAAGGATCAAACCAATGTTTTAAATAACAATTCCATTAAAACCCTTATGAGGATAATTCCTTTTTAAACTGACGATTACGCATAATGCATCTAGGTATAAATACGTGTCAAATTAGGAAAACTCTTACTCTTCGCAAAATGCAAGAAAATTCAAATGCATCTTCCATATGACTCACGCTTGTCCTAAACAAGATTGTTGTGAAGAACTTGAAAAACTGGTTGCGAATATTTGATGAAATTCTTTCTTAAATGCGTTTGCAACTCAGTTGAATATCGAAAAGCAATATATGCAATTTCGGTAAAAGAAATAAAAAAAAACCTTCAATAATTTTAACGTTTACTTTGGTATATCCACATCACATTGCACTTTGGAGCATTGCATAACGTTGAAGGTTGTCATGACCAATTTTTTCGAAAAGTTCAAGTCAAAACCACCCAACTCAGACAACAAACACTACACCAATAATAACTAAACTTTTTACAAATAACACCAAACTCGTTTTCTGTTTTACGCGACATTGGAACCGGTGAAGTTCTTCCTTCAGAGTGTCGTGGGTAAACTGATTGTGAAAATTTTTGCTAACGTGCCCACCTACCTCCATCCTTTTATCGGTAAAATGCGGGACGTCTTTTATACCCAATAAAACTTGCAACTTAACATGAAAGGTTAATAATTAAAAATCGATATGGAAGAGCCAAGTGTCGACCCATTTCTACAGTCGATCCATCCATGCTGGTGGATGACGTAACCCTCAATCGATAACACGAAAAAAAACTAATGATGTTCAATTTATTAAGGCTTTGTAAATTCAAAACAAAAATTGAGGATTAAGAAGGGCAGCATTATATGCCCTACTACAATAAAAAAGGATGCAAATAGAATTTTGATTACACATTTTCTTTAGGTGATGTTTGTTTATGCATATTAGCCCTCATATGTACCCATATAACCAAATTCTATTTAATTCAAGTTCACCGCTGTGTTCTGACCTTAAACGAATAGGTTAAGGGTATTTGTTGCATGAATAAAATTTCTACCAATACATATTATTCACAATAATTTTATAAAAAAAAAAGTTCCTGCAGGATTCTACTATATAAACACTTTTTTTTTTCGAGTTTTTCGCGTGAAAATCTCATCAATCAACAGCCTACAACAGGCTACTNTCTTTGAAAAATTTTAATAACTTCTGTTGTGCAATTTAATTTTTACTGCAAATGAAACTATATAACTCTGAATGACAAACACAAACAACTACCTTGCTATAAGACTTCCCCTCCTCTTTTCGTCCTTCTCTAACTTATGTATTTGGGTTGGTAGCACCAAACTACCCCTTCTTTCCAAATTACACACACGTTTCTCCCCTTCTATAGTAAACGATTTTCTTCGTTGTAACATTTTTGTTCGAACAAAAATCAGCACAATTACAATACGACGATCGTTTTAAACAATATCAAATACAAACTTTTTGATTAAATTTGATTGAATGTTCGCAGCACTGATCCGATTGGATTAATTGACGAAACCACGATGTAAAAGTAAGTAGTAGCCGAATTGTATTTTTGATTTTGTAAACCCGGAAGGGAAAAAGCCTCTGATACGGTGAAAACTACAGCCAATCTAAACACCGCTTGCTTCTCTACTCCAAATTTTTTTCTTTCGGTAAAAAACAAACAACAATTTCCGACAAACTTTAAGAAGGCAACCTGCGTCTAACGCCGATGCCTTTGAACGTGTGAGTTTTCACGGTCGCGGCAATCTGACTTTTTAATGGCTTTTAAACCCAACGGATGTATGCAGTTCGTACGGCACGAACTAAACTTATAACGTGAATTCATAAATATTTTTAAAAATGGTCGCAGAAGTAAATACAGAGAGGACGCCCAAAATACAATAAAAATTTATATATGTACAGGTACACTCGAAAAATACACGGTTAAAAAAAATTATATTTTGTGCCCTTACCCACGGGAGAGTAATATTTATTAATTATCAGTTTAGTATACTATACATATACTCAAGTTGTTACTATTCTAATCCAGTTTACAATAGAGAGATCGCTTATAACGATTAAAATACATAATAAAAGAACCGTTACCATGGACATTTTACGAACAACAAATAAATGTACGTTTAATTATAATTTAATAAAAAATCTGTCATTTTGGTTTGCTTTTGTAGTTTTTAAGTTTCACGTAAATAACTCGGTAATTCCCCTACTTAACTAGGCACGTTGTTCTCTGGCGCCGACTTTTCTTACTAGCTCAAACTTCACCACACTTGCCTTAGCTTCACATATTAGTTTCGTTATAATATCCGATGTATCTACTGTAATTGTAATTAAAATTGAGGAACTCATTCTTCTAACTATAAAATTTGAACTTGTATAAATCGGAATCTATTTTATTATTTAACTATTCAAGTTCATTGATATTCTAATGATGCCAATTTCCGGTTCGTTCGAGCCCCTTTTAAATTCCCGATTTGTGGTCATCCTGTAAGGACTAAGTCACCCGCCTATTTACATAAGTCCTCCTTTTCCCGGTTTATTTGCCTACTTTACGCAAATGTATTTTGTACCTTCTCTCCCAACCTATCCTCCAGGAAGTCCTATTTATTTTCAAGGTTATGTAAACAAACAAAAATTGCGATCAGGTACACGCGAGTTCCAGGATAAACTGGGACTTTTAATTAACCACGCGCAACAGAAAAAACAAACTGTGCACGCGCTTGAAGTCCGAAAATTACGGAAAACGCCGTTGGTGATGGTACGATATGTAAACAGAGAGCGAAAAAGGCGTGGGACGATAGTGCAATAAATTTTCACAGTCTAATCAATCTTCAAACGAATCAGTCAATCGATCGATCGTAACGATCTGATTTCCGATTCCGATTCGGTTGATGAAAAATCATTAATTAAGGAGGAAAATTAGGTTATTTTACACTGCCTTAAGTAGGTCTTTAGATGTGCCAACATGTTTAATTAATCTACTTTGAGAAAAGAAGCTACTACCTTATAGAGTAATGATAGTTACGAGTTCGACAATTCGATATTCTCATGGATTTTGTCGAATAATTTTGAATCTCACAAATTGTATCAATTTTCTACCGAGGGCGTTTACAACACTGTTCGTAGTAGTTCAATTTCAACTATGTAAAATTCTGAAGTAAGCACGAATTATTTTTAACAAGTGCTATTTGAAAACCTGTGATAGTCGACAGCTTCGAGTAGGAGATAAATACATTCAAATACATAATAAGACAAATCTCATGCTAATACGACCTTCAACAACTATAAAATGTAATTAATTATTGAATATTATAATATAATTAATCCAATAATTCTCAACCTCATTTCCTATTATAAAAAATACTAGAACAAACAAATTTTCAACAACAGGAAATAAATATAAAATGAAATAAAAAAATTACGAATTTTAGACTCCATTTGCAATGAAAACAAGTGTTTTCAATTTTTGCACACGAATACGATAAAATATTAGTACAACAAAAGATTTTTTAACCCTCTTTAGAAAAATATCATTCAGAATCCAAAAATCTGATTCTAATGTTGCTTTTAAATTTATTTCTCCTTGAAAGTTTAACTTTAAACCTGATAACTAAAAACAAGTTCTATAACACAAAAAAATTAATATTCATTTCAATCAAGCACCTCGAAAACAAGACGTATCAATTAAACATCAAATTTTCTGATTTAAATAAAAACCCATTGCCACTGATTATACTTCATACAAACAAAAAAATATTTAAATAATAGAAACTTACCTTTGATAAACAAATAAATAAATAAATAAATGAACAAACAAAAAAATTTATTACGCAAATCAATTAAAAAAGAAAAAGAATTGGTGACTTACATGTCCCTTTCTACAGAGTCCTTCGCCACAAGGTCATACATCTGACTGTGCGTAGAAGTATTGACAACAAACAAGGAACTTTTCGCTAGAAACAAACAAAAAAAAAGATATTAAACAATCAAAAACAAAAGAGGACATTTTACGATACGAAACAAAAACCACCACAACAATAAACTAAAGACAAAAGAAGACCGTTTCGAACTACTTACATGCAGCGTTGGTTCTGACGATGAGGGAGGAAGTCTTCATGACGGGTGCGAGATACTGCTGGTTTGGCGTCCCTGCCTGAAAGAACTTGAGGACGTAGCGTTCAGCATCTTTCTGCAGAAGTATCACAGCTTCTTCTAAGAGAACGACGTGGACAGCCAGGGGCTGTTTGTTCGGTCTCCTCAGGTGCATAGGCCCTTCGTGAATTAACTTATATTTCGTTAAATCTAAATTCTGAAACAAAAACAAAAGACATAATTACTTGCAACATAATCGTAATTAATTGTTGTTCGTACCTTAAATTCATTAACAATAGCATGATCAGTCTTTTCGAACATAGATGTGTCTAAATGCTTCTGCAGCTCCTCGAGCCTGGCTCTGTTGAAGGCAACTTTGGCCGCCTCGTTCACGTGGTTCAGTATTTCTTTGGACCGATCATGTGCCTGCCTGAGCTTGTTAAGCTCGGCCTGCGTGTAGCCGGAATCTGTATCCTTCAATTTCTCCTCGCTGTCTATCAGCCTTTCCAATAGCAAAGGATACTTCGACAACCTGACCAAAAAAAAATGACAAAATGACCTGCAACGATCTTTAGGAACGAAGAAAATTTACCTTTGCATTTCTGTGGGAAGAATTCCTTGTAAAGGTAACCTCCTGCACAAATTATTTTTTTCGCACTCGCAGAGGAAATTGTCGAACCTGGAATCTTTTTTTCGCCTTTCTTTGATAAACTCTAACGCCAGTTGTTGCCTTTCGCAAAAAGTGGCAGCAGCTCTTTGGAAGTTTTCACCTGTCGTACCGTCAAACTGCAATCAAAAATCACAACAATTTACAATCCAAACTCAACTGGAATTATTTTTCGAAATAATCACCATATTGAGGAGGAGGTCTCCACATTCCCCAACAATCGACTCCTCTTTCCGTTTATTCTTCATAGCGGCATTAAACTGAACGTGGAGGTCTAACAGTTCACTCAAATTCGCAAAGATGAGATTGAGGTCCTCTTGTTTGAGGATTTTTGAGGAATGCAACGGTTTACAAAATACATGTTCCAAAACTCTGAGATTCCGAACGTGTGACCTTTCTGTGTGAAAAATTTCTAAAAGAGAAAAAACTCATTCACATCATCTACTTCTCCAAAAGCAACGTCGTCGTTATCACTAACTAACCGTTGATAACATCTTGTCTTTTTTTTTCGTATGGATGCAGGCCGGCTAGTTCGTCTTCAGGTACTGAACTTTGCCAGTCGGGAGGGTCAGCTTCCAGTTCCATGTCACTATCCCATCCCGTTCCAGCCGGGTGGGTGTCTGGAAACCTGGATACGGCATCGAGGGAGGTACTTGGACTTTCTGACGATTTACTACACGAAAAGTAAAGCAAACTGCTACTCAGACTACTCTATTAAATAC